TGTGTGAAAAGTGAAATCTAAAACATCATATACATCATTTGGTTTTCTTTTTTTTTTGAAAAGAACAGCATTTGTGTACAGAGGGAGTAGGGAATATCAACCATAAATCGAATCAACTAGTTACCGCTACTATTTTACAAGAGTAAAGATGGTTTCAAGAATTTTTCTGGTTTCTTGTTGTTACTTGTTAACCGAGTTATCTAAACTGTAGGTAAGACTAACTTAAAATAAAATCTGGCCGTTTTACAGAAGATATTTGTCATCATGAGCATGATAAATTACTAGTGGAAATCTTGTTTAACAATAAGTGGTTAACTATTATGTTTTTGTTAGGAGAATAAGGATGAGAGCAATCAAGAGGCCATGTTATATGTCATTTTCTTATCTACTCCCCCCATAAATACATGGTTTGAATATAAATTGAAGTTGATCTTTGACCATGCAATTGTTTTACTTATCTGCTGAGCAAAACTACCATTTAATGCTCAAACCCTGATTTTTTTGTTTGAACCCCGACAATAAATTTCAAAAGCATGGTTGCAGTGGTGTGGAGGTTGATAATCGAGAATCTCTAAACATAAGAGATTCCATACTTGATTCTTCTTTCGAACAATCGAGACGTCCATGGGATACTTCATGTCTCAAGTCATGATGAATTTGGTAAAGTGAAGTGGACGGCGTATCCATTGGATTAGTCCTAAATCACTAATGTATATAAACAAACAAAATGTTGTAAGAACCTTTTAAGTTGTCTTAGTCATACAATTTCTCTCAAAACGACAATGTATCTTTTAAATATGGAACGATATATTGTCTTATTCGTTTTAACATAGTCAGAATTTTTAAAAGAACTAGTTTTATATTGGGATGGTTGTTAGATCAAGTAAAACAGATTATTATATATGTGAAGTTAACAGAACTACAGGAGTCTGTACTACGAAGGAATCTAAGTGAACATGCCATCAAATGATAATACTGGAGGATTTAGTATGCAGACCTTCCAACGTTCGAGACCGTTATAGGTGAACTACATGACGACGTCCTGGTAACGTCCTTACTCGTTTCAGTGTTTAGTTTGGACCACTTCGACAAGATCAAGATACTCGGTTAGAAAGAAAAGAAAAAGTCTATAATGCTTGCATCTTGCAACCAATCTCGTCTTATATTTTTATGTAAATTAAACGCAGAGAATACTGATCACATTTGCAACAAATGTCATCTAATCTTTTTATGTTGATGTTTGTTTTTAAATATCTAATGCGAAAAAACCCATCTAATGCAAAATCTAAATGTTACATAATCCAATGATCTATACTATTAAACCATGATTCTATTTTTTAAAATTTTAGATTCTGTCATTAGATTTCATCATATTTATAAGATAATACCACTCTTTATTTTTAGAATTTTAGTTAACTAAACAACTAAATATTTCCTATATTTATGGTAATTGATCATTTCCCCTATTTTGTGATTAATAATAATTTTCTTTTTATGAAAGTTATATTTTCTATTTAAATTTACTATCATATTTTTGTGCATAATATTATAGCGATCAAAAATTAAAAATTATTATTCACTATGTCATTTTATCCATAGTATTGATATGTTAATTCAATTTTTTAATTAAATATTTTTTAGGTATAAAACAAGTAAAAATATAAACTTATCCCAGGTAATTAATAACGAAACAACTAATATTGTTATATGAATAGATCTAGTTTTTTTTTTCTATTTCCATTGTTTCATTTTTTCAAATGAAAAGAAAAATTTCATTAAAGAAATTACAAAAAATCAATTTTCTTTAATATTAAAAGTATGAGTTATTTAACTAGTTTTTTAAAATAGTATCAGTTTTATGCGGTTTTAAGCGGATCTACAAATATCATATTGGAAATTAATAGTGAGTCTTAGGATATTTACCGGATTTGATCAAATTTTTAATTAATAAAATGTTCATTATGGGATGCAGCGGTCCAACTATGTGAAAATCAACATTGTAATAGAATATTTTTAAATATTAATAGAACAATTTTTAAATTTTGTGTTTAACTAATTAATTCAAATAAATTTTTATCAAATTTGTAAAAATATATTCACGCTTTTAAAGCGCATATCAAAATCTAGTATGAACTTAAAACAAACAAAGTTTATAAATTAATATTAAACTGTCTGGTTTTTATCACAAAATATCATTAGGTAACTAAATATATAAATAGATTTTAATTGTTTTAAAATATTTAGAAATATTTTAAATATAAAGGGAGAATTATTGTTTAGAAATTTTTTTAGCAATTAATTTTGATTGTATATGACAACCTCTTTTGAGAAAATTGTATACAAACTCTTTATAATATGTAATTCCTTTTTATTACGTTAACTATATAAATATGGATATGTTCCTCTTGATAAGTTAATGTAATATCCTACTATATATTTAATGAGAAGTAACTTTAGTAATTTTTCTTTAGATGTCACTCATATGTGAAGTTTAGAATTAATTTTTTTAATTTAATTGGTTGTTGATATTTAAATTTTCATTTATTTAAATCAAGTTTTTTAAAAGAAAACAATCATACAACTATCTAATCTAATATATGTTATAAAATACAATTAAATATCTTAAATTTAAAAGAATTAACATAATTATTTTGTTGAAACAGTTGATTATCATAGATTACATTACATAAATTTATAATATAAATTTAAACACATATTATATTATATTTATAGTGAATACAATAAATAATTGATTGCAGCAAATTAATAAATGGAAACTTAATAAACAGTCAAACAATCAAAGAAGTTTTTAAAAGGAAACAAATCATATAATTACCTAATCTAATATATGTCACCAACTTAATCTACAAACCTATTAATATATATACATATATATATATATATATATATATATATATATATATATATATATATATATATATATATGTGGTATGTGAATGTTAAAAAATGAAATTATATTCTTAATGGATTAAAATCTTAATTAGTCATATATAGTTATTGATAAAACAATTTAATGAAATATTAAAAATACCTTTTATAATTTTAAAAACTAAACAAATAACCCAACTAAATAAACTAAATAAAAGATATAAAACATGTTTATTTAAATATACAGAAAAATTCACATTTTAGTTTGAAAAGCTAAATATATATTATACCATGTCAAATTATTTTCACCTACAAATTTGCGGATAACCACCTAGTATTTATTATTTGAATGTGAATGTTAAAAAATGAAATTATATTCTTAATGGATTAAAATCTTAATCAGTCATATATAGTTATTGATAAAACAATTTAATGAAATATTAAAAATACCTTTTATAATTTTAAAAACTAAACAAATATCCCAACTAAATAAACTAAATAAAAGATCTAAAACATGTTTATTTAAATATACAGAAAAATTCACATTTTAGTTTGAAAAGCTAAATATATATTATACCATGTCAAATTATTTTCACCTACAAATTTGCGGATAACCACCTAGTATTTATTATTTTTATTAATATCTAGTAAGCTTAGAAAATTATATGTAACTGGAGATTTTGTGCGAATTAGTTTAAATTAGAATTGAAAACTGTTAAGTTTAGAGGTTGATTGTTTGTGGTTTTTTTTTTCTAAAAATCATTTTTTTTCAATCAAGTTTTTGTTTTTGGTTTTTGTTTTTGTAAAAACCCTTTTCTTGCCAATCAAGTTTTTAAACAAATAAAATCCCTAAAATTTAGGAAAACTAGTGTTTTAAAATTTTTAACCAATTTGTGAAAAAAGTCAAAAACGAACTTTTGTGGGTTTTTTAATACAAAAACGAATTTTATTATTTTTGTAAAAAAAATCTATATTTTAGTTAAACAAATAATATTTTCATAAAGATAAATTATCCAAACAATTCTTTGTAGATAATATATAATTTAAACCTTAGTTTAAAATAATTTATTTGTGTTTCATATATGTCAGTAAATTGGATATTTTATATAACATTAATTAATTGTAAACAATTAGTTATTAATTTTTATAAAAAATAAGTTATTAATTTCTTTAAAAATTCATTGAACAATTGGAATAACTATTAGACACACTAAAAAAATAATTAAAAATTGTAAAAACTTAATTATTTTATTAACATAATATATAGTATTAATTGAAAAAATATCCTTTCAGGTTTTAAAACATAAAAAACATATAGGAAAATCTAGAAATAGTTTAAAATTTTAAAATATTTTAATTTATATAATTTATAGAAATTTTATTGTTTATATTTTAGTATAATATTTAGATATAAAATAATTAAAAAACATGTTAATGCATTTTATTCTAAATAACAATCACTCTCTTTTCATAAATTTTAGTGATAACTTATAAATAGTTTATTATTTTTCTTATTATTTTAAAATAAGATATTGATTATTTTTTGAAAAATTAAAAAATACAAAACCAGAAGCTGAAAGCTCAAAACAAAAACCTAAAATCTAAAAACCAAAAAAAAATCTAAAACCAAAATTTAAAAGCTAATGCAAACAATCATCACCTAAATATGCTATGTCATATAATATAAAAATCATATTATATTGTTGTTGAAAATGATACAGAAGCATTTTTAAAAATCATTTTACAGAGAATAGAAGATATGTGTGATTTTTGAGCCTCGTTGTATACAAAAAGACGAACAAAAATTATTCAAAAGTAAGCCCTTTCTAAAAAAAAGAAAAAAATTCAATAAGTGCAAAACAGCCTTTCCCCGTTTCTTCATTTCCAGTTTTATTTATTTATTATCTAAAAACAAAAACAATAGTCAAATAAAAGTTACATTATTATTATATTGATATTTCCGTCAGCCTACACGGCAAAACTCGCATTATATAACACTACTACCGAAGTTGCAAAGAGATACAAACACACACACAAAGAAAAGACAGAGAGAGACTATCATCGTTCCCAGATTTTTTATTCTCGATTTACTCAAAAAATACAAAGAAAAAATGAATTCAGAATCGTTGGAAAATCTCCACCGTCCACTTATTGAGTCATCAAAATCGTTCATAGATTACCGCCTCGAGACTGTCTTAACCGACCGAGAACTGCCGTATCTCCGCCGGATCTACCTGGCGATGATGATAGAGATGAAGTTCCTCTTCCACCTCGCCGCTCCGGCCATCTTTGTTTACGTCATCAACAACGGAATGTCCATCCTCACTCGTATCTTCGCCGGCCACGTAGGCAGCTCCCAACTCGCTGCCGCTTCACTAGGAAACAGTGGTTTCAACATGTTCACTTACGGTCTTCTGGTAATAATAATCTCCTCTTAATCTTAACCGGTTTTTAAACCGATCTATTGCACAGTAAACTGAATCTAAACCGGTTACTCAACCGAACTGTTGCAGTTTTGCAACTAAAACTAAATCTAACCGGTTTCTCAGTCGATCTATTGCAGATTAAACTAAAAACCGGTTTCTGAGCCAATCTATTGCCACTTAAACTGATTCTAAATCAGTTTCTCAACCGATCTATTACAGTTTGCAACTTAAACTAAATCTAAACCAGTTTCTAAACCGATCTATTTCTATGTCAACTGAATCTACCGGTTTCTCAACCAAACTATTACAACTTTAACTGAATCAAAACCGGTTCTATTGCAACTTAAACTGAATCTAAGTGGTTTATTTGATTTCTAAACTGATTCAAAACCGGTTCTACTGCAACTTAAACTGAATCTAAGTGTTTTTTATTTTATTTTTCTTGTAATAATGATTTCATCTGAATCTAAACCGGTTTCTTAACCGATATATTGCAATTTAAACTAGATCTAACCGTTTTTTTTTGTTAATTTTCCGGTTATGTAGCTTGGTATGGGAAGTGCAGTGGAAACATTATGTGGACAAGCACACGGAGCTCATCGTTACGATATGCTCGGCGTCTACCTCCAAAGATCAACCGTAGTTCTCATCATCACCTGCCTCCCCATGTCACTCCTCTTCGTCTTCTCCAAGCCTCTCCTCAACATCCTCGGCGAGCCAGAACAAGTCGCATCAATGGCCTCCGTCTTCGTCTACGGCATGCTCCCAGTCATATTCGCTTACGCAGTCAACTTCCCTATCCAAAAATTCCTCCAAGCTCAGAGCATCGTCACGCCGAGTGCTTACATCTCCGCGGCGGCTCTAGTGATCCACCTCGTACTCTCGTGGGTGGCTGTGTATCGTCTAGGGTTTGGTCTTCTTGCTTTGTCTTTGATTCATAGCCTCTCGTGGTGGATCATCGTTGTGGCGCAGATTGTTTATATTAAGATGAGTCCGAGGTGTCGTCGGACTTGGGAAGGGTTTAGCTGGAAAGCTTTTGAAGGTCTTTGGGATTTTTTCCGGTTATCTGCGGCTTCTGCTGTGATGCTGTGCCTGGAGTCTTGGTATTCTCAGATTCTTGTTTTACTCGCTGGACTTCTCAAGAACCCTGAGCTTGCTTTGGATTCTTTAGCTATATGGTAACTTTCTAAACTCTAAATCTCATTAAAATTGCAAAATGAGATTTTTAATTGAATAATTACGTAATTAGTAGTATTTGTTTTCATATTTATTAGTACTATAAATTAAGCGGCGAATTTGAACATGGGAGTTTGTTGTATTAAGTTAGACAACAAAGGTAATTATTGCGAAAAGTGTGTAATTAAAATAAAAATTATTTTCAAGTTCAGATATTATCAATGAATGTGAACATAGTATATATAATTAATTAATCGCATTAAAGTGAGACAGATGTAAGGTAACCATGTTAGTCGAAAAAGACAGCACGGCTACTCGTCGTCACGTCATTTTCTTTGTCAGTAGAGAGGCCAAAGAAAGCTCTTTGAGCTTCTCTTTACTTTTGTCGTTTTCTAAAGAGTTTCAACGTAATTTTATTCGCCTGCTGTAAACCACTCTTACCAATGTACTGTTTTTTTTTTGCAGCATGTCAATTTCTGCAGTCTCGTTCATGGTCTCCGTTGGATTCAACGCAGCTGCAAGGTTGGTAACAAATAGTTTACCTTTTTCCCTAAAAAAAAAAAGAAGCTTATTCTTGTGGTTACTAATAATAATGTTTTTGTTGGTTTTCAATCTATGAATAGTGTGAGAGTGAGCAATGAGTTAGGAGCTGGAAACCCAAGAGCAGCTGCGTTTTCGACATTTGTAACAACTGCAGTATCATTATTGCTGGCGATTTTTGAAGCAGTTGTGATCATGTCGTGGAGAAATGTTATCAGCTATGTGTTTACTGATAGTCCTGAGGTGGCCGAGGCCGTTGCGGATTTATCTCCCTTTTTAGCCATCACTATTGTCCTCAATGGAGTTCAGCCTGTCTTGTCAGGTAAAAAGAAACCCACAATTAAATCAAGTTGATTAATACTTTTAATTATTAATTAGTTTTAGGATTTTAAACTAATTTTGTTAATACCAACTTTTAGGTGTGGCTGTTGGGTGTGGATGGCAAGCATTTGTGGCGTACGTTAACATTGGATGTTACTACGTTGTGGGAATTCCGATTGGGTTCGTACTTGGTTTCACCTATGATATGGGAGCAAAGGTAAAACAATACTAGTAAATAAATTTTATTTAATTTTGTTTACGCGTTAACGTAACCTAGTATTAAATAATGATAAAAGGCAAATAATAAATGTGTTTGTACAAATGATACAGGGAATATGGACAGGGATGATTGGTGGCACATTAATGCAAACCATAATCTTGGTGATTGTTACCCTTAGAACTGATTGGGATAAAGAGGTACATAAAAGTCATTTTCTATGCTTTGTGTGAAAAGTGTTAGGTATAGATCTTGGTATGATTTAGGATAGATATGGTACTTAAAGTTTTTTTTTCTAAAATGATTCAGGTGGAGAAAGCTTCCAGCCGATTGGACCAATGGGAAGAGAGCCGTGAGCCGCTTCTGAAGCAATAAAAATGGAATGCCAACAATCATTTTTTGGGAGAGCATCACATGAAATATATGCCAATTTAATTGATAAAACACTGTTTTTTCAATCGAAAAATATAAGTTGTTTTGTTGATTAATGACTCGGAAATTTATTTATTTATTCCTGGAAAAGGGGGGAGGAAAGAAAATTGTAATCATGTATTTCAGCGTGAGAGTGAATATATGAATTTTTATTAGAGTGAGTTTTTTTCACCAATTTATGTTAGTTTTATTATTTTATAATGACGTAAAAATAGTGAATCTTGTATTGCATCATGCAATCTCTTCTTTTAATATCTTTTACAGTATCCCAACAAAATATAATACAATTCTATCAAGTAATCAAATCTATAAATAAAAATGAGCGATAAAGAGATTTCTCTATCAAAATCTGTAAATTTTGTATTTCTTGTACCTTTAAAGCTTTATAAGCAAGAAACTTACTCTATGCAGAAACGAACCAAATCTTATTTTCTTTATTATTTTCTCTCTGTTTTTCTTCTCACTCAGGTCAAAAAGGTATAAAGTTAATAAATAAAAAAGATTGTTTTGTCCTCTCTATACATTGGGAAGATGACACGTGTACCTGAGCTTTCGATGAGAGGCAAGAGCTTTTTGAAGAGCAACATCCACACTTGAATTCTCTCTGAACAACATGTCATATAACTGGCAAACAAACTCAGACACTTGCTCTTCTTCGTCTTCCCAAAGACCACAACTCTTATTATCCTCTCTGTTCATCTTCTCATGGTCACTATCTTCCCAGTCACTTGTCGCTGTCGGGGTCGGTGGTTCCATCTGCTCCCTTTCAGCTTCCTCTTCCTCGTCGTCTTCTTCTTCACCAATCTCAAACTTACCGTTGTCTCCAATATTGTACTCAAATGGGGAACCTTGAGTTGTGATTAGAGGAGTCTCTTGTGGTTCGGTTGACGGACCAATCACAGCTTTGGCACCAGAGTCTAAGAAGGCTTTAACTACAGCTTGTGTTGGTCCAAATGTTCCTGAGTATAGTATTATCCTGTCTCTCCATGCTCCTACCTGTTTTAGAGATTAGGCTTAAAAGCATAAGCGTATATTAAATCTTTTTATACAAGCTACCTGATAGCATCTACGGAGATATCAGCAATAACATAACGGCATATTAAATCTCTTCCCTCCAGTCAATCAAAGGCAGAATCAAATGAAGGACCAAATGCAATTAGGGTTTCGTTAATAGAGTCCCCAAACTCTTTCCAAAGCCTAAAAGACTCTTCGAGTATCCAATACCAAAGACTTCTAAATCTAATCCATCCCAAACCACTTCGTAATTTATCAAGCTTGCTTGTACTTAATCACACTAGCTTTTGATGTTTGAGATTTCTACCCATCAACCATACTTGAGTATAAGTGTACATACACTATTTTTTTGAAGAAGCTAGCTTTTATACGAATGCAGGAATAAGAATATGTCAACAAGAAACTAGCAGACAGCTCTTATTTTTTGTACAAAGGTCAGAGTGCCATTACCATCCAGCGAATGTCATCAGGAGTTAGGTGTGTCGAAGGGACAGTTCTGCGGAACATAAAAGCTGCGATTTCTTGATCATCTTCCATCACCTTTAAATGAAATTAACATCACAAACAAAATAACTCTGCAAAGCTCTCATACTAACATCACAACAAGTTGGAAACGAGAGCATATTCTTACTTGGGTTTGACGCCCGATATAGCGGTGGATGATATTCCCAACCTGGAAGCATTTCTTGCTACGCACCAGATCCGAGATTGAGAAAATGTTGGAGAGAACTGAAGCAGCCTTTCGGCGATTGCTTTGCATCACTGATAATATACTGAATTTGACGCTCTGGAGAAACTTATCCGCGAGATCTCCAGGTTCAGCAACCACAAATACATCATTTTGCCAACTGAATGAAACCAGAAAGCAAATGTATCTATTAACTCGAATCAACATTTTAAACCTGAGTGTGTGATATGGTGAAAATGGAAAAGTTTGAATGTTACCTTAGGATCGAACCATTAGAATCATTCTGAAGCGCGAGATGTATGATCCCCACTTGGGGCAAATTCTGTAACTTTTCATGCATTTGTCGTAACGGAAGATAGAGTTGTCTTTTTGGTGGAGGAGATGATGGAGGCGACATAACCGTCTTTCCAGCATGACCTCCGTCCAAGCTAAGTGGTGGAACCATGTCAATCCTATTAAACTTTTGTGGGCCATGATCAGGAGTGAAGAGAAGGGGGCTCGAGGGCAAGCTTCCGCTTATTAGAGGAGAGTTAAATGGTGTGGGGAAGGCAGTTCCTGGAGATGGTTTCGGGCCTCCAGGTGTAGCATGCAGTGAAGATAACTTTATTCCATTACTCGAACAAAATGCCTCAAGTGCACGAGCATGATGCTTAACTCTCCCTGAGTCAGGACTATGCTGAGCCTCCACAAGCAAAACATTGCGTCTCCATCCTAGAGAAGGACTGCTCTCTACTGTCATAAAAATGATAAGTCACTAAGCTAACAGTTTGAGAAGGTTTTTATCAACCGCATAAAACTTTGAAATATATATACCTCTGCTGTTTGGTAGCTTTCCATTCATAAACCGTGGTGTCAAATTCTCACACCACTTCTCATCGTTTAGGAAGGGGAGTGTTAATCTCTCGCAGACGTTTTTAAGTACTTGAGAATTGCTTTGTATGTATTCATCAATTGCAGCTTCCAACTTTAGCCAGATCGATGGATCAGTCTCATCCAACTCCATTCCACAGCGATCATCAACTGCATAGATAACAAATGTGCAGGCTTAACTAAAGTAAAACACTTCCACATTATAATAATTGGTGTGGATCAGAATTTAAGTTTTCCTGGGTTTTCAAGAGGATACAGTGTTCTTGCACGTTGTAAGTGCTGCGTATTACCTGGGTTGAATCGGAAATATTGTATCTCTGGCAACATAGGAAGCAATGTGCTTAGAGCTTCTTCAACCCGTTCCACTGAGCAAGCACTCTCAATCAGCACCTGTCCAGTATCTAAATAACGCCATCCACCTTTCCGTACCTACAAGAGGGTTAGATAAACATTGACAAATAATTACTTAACATTATAAGGAAGATCAGCTTATGTATAAAGACGGTCAGCTTTTATCATAACAATTTGACCATTTGCAATTGTCATTTGTAGCCACAAATCAATCAACTGAATTCACAAGTAGGAGAAAAAACGGGACTTACCCTTGTTGGTACAGAACCAGAGCCAATCGAAACCAAGCTGTCAATTTTTGTGTCAGGCCATAGAAGTTGTGCTTCTCTAATGGCAAAGATCGTAGGATTGTTTGCCACAATTGCACCATCTTGCCAGCGATATGAATCTTATTCGATTTGACGAGCAAACAGAGATTATAGAAAAATATCAGCATAAAAGCTTACATAAAGTCTCGAGGATAAAACTTGAAAAGAAAAGGTAGACTTGTACCGACTGAAAAATCATCAAGATAATATGGAGCAGCTGATGATGCGCGTATTGCTTGCCAAACCTGATGCTTACAACTTCCCATAAACGCACTTTGCTTGTAATAGCCAGCTTGATCACTGGCAGTTGAGGAAGTTAATGTACTGCCGCCTGAATGATCTGAAAATGCATATGACATTTCGGGTGTTCCAACAGAATACTGCAAACAGAAAATAGAGCACATGATACACAAGAGAAGTATAGGCAGGAGAATGTACGTGGTAAACCCTTCATAACAAAATAACAGAAACTATGGAAACAACTAAAAAAAAAAAAAGCGAATTGTGGTACCTGGTAGTTCCGGAATATAAATGGTTGCGCAGGCATCACACTAACAAGGGTGGATACGACAAAAACTTTTGGAACATTCTTCACAGCTGATTCTATTAGTAGATCTCCATCCTCATCAGCACACATTTCCTTTAACAGTCTCTCGAACTCGTCTGCACTGTGCTGCAAGACAGAATTATATTACAGAACCTAATTCCAAGTCATGTAAACCTAATTCCAAGTCATGTAGTAACCATCAAAAGCTATTTGGTTTTCTAAAAGCATATGTTTTTACAATTGAAGGAAATCTTACATTTAGAAATACTAAACAACATAAAGATGATAAATCCTTAAAACCAAAACCATAAAGGAATGCTCTTTAATTTTTTATAGCTACAGAAACAAGTAACTATGAATAAACCAAAGGATATTTATATACCTTGGATCCATGTATAACAACTCTGAAACTCTGCGATGAACTTTTATATAGCTGGTCCAACTTTTCCCGCCAACTTGCAGCTTCATTGTCCTTTGGGACAGGTTCAGCGAAAACAAGCTTTCCTAAAGAAAAATCATTCAAAGTGAAGTCCAGAACCAATAAGTCAACGATGCTGTAAAGCTCAAAGGGAATTTTACACACCTAGATTTTTGTAAATTTCTTCGCATTGCTCCAGTGTCATAAGCTTGACACCAAGGGCAATAGCAAGCATTCCTCCTGTTGATGTGCCACATATAAGGTCAAAAAGTTCGTGTATACGCTTGCCACTTCCCTTCTCAATCTCTTTGAGAATCTGCACAGTTGCAAGACCCTTCATTCCACCTCCATCCATGGTGAGTATTCGCAGTCCTTGTTTTGGTACTTGCCTGCCTTTTATGGAACGTCGCAGGATATCGTTTTCTCCTGTCATCAGAAGAAAAATATTGTATGTAGTGCTTCGCTAAAAGTATTAAACAATAACAGCCATATAGAGCACAAAAAACACACCGAGAATTGCCAAAGCTCGAGCTGCAGCTTTATTAACTCGTGGTTCAGGTGTGACAGTCAACCGCATCAATAACTCCCTCAAACTCTCAGAAGTAATCAGAATACGACGATTTTCCAAACAGAAGGCCAAGTTCCCAACTGCTAACAAGGCTTGTCTTTGAACCTAAGTAAAATGAAAACTCAGTCGAAAAAAGCCGCAGGTTTTTCTTATTAGGAGAGCGAAAAATGCAGCTGTCTTACTTCAGGATTCTTATGAGCACACAAGGATTTCAAGGATTTTAGCATATCCTTGGTGAGCATCTTCTGAGAAACGGAATCAGATACGAAAGCTAAGGTGACCACGACTTGTAGCACAGATATCACTTCGTCGGGGGCCGCAGATTTCAAAACTGTTTCAGTTGGCTTCATTATATCACACTTCATTAGCTGCATTGCCACGCTAACATCTCGAGCAAGAGATGATAAAGCAACACATGCTTGCTCAACCTATCAAACCTATAGTTATCGTGATTGTTCCCAAAAGAAAGTATATATTTTTTTCCTGATCCTAGTAGAGAACAAAAACCAACATACCACGTGGCGATTGTCACTAGTTATCATACTTATAAGCTGCCTCACTGCATTTTCATCTTTACCAATAACAGAACGGTTTCCTTCGTCTTGCATTATCTTCACCAATGTAGACGCTAGAAGAGGATGGTGACAAGACGAAGAACGGAATATAAGGGGAGAGAAGGCACTTAGCTTGTGCCTAGATGCCCCAAAATAGGAAGTGTTTTCTGTCTAGCATCATGCAAACGCACCCTTAGCATAAAAACTTGATCATTTTGAGAGTAAAAAAAATAGCAGAGAGATTGCGTGATGAATTTTCCTTCTTACCTCTATCTGTACATTTACTGATCTGAAATTCTCATCAGACACAATTCTGACATTTACAAGAGACAACTGGCGAAGCTGATGCAAAGGTAATATCTCTGGAAGGAATTCAAGGGGATTACCAAAAAGCCGTAGTATTCGTAGCCCTGCCATCGCCCTGCATTTCAATCAAATAACAAATCAGCCTCCTACCTACGAAACAGTGACACCAGCTATCTGCAAAAATGACCTGAAATCAAGCAGGGGCCGGATGAGTTTATTGTGTTCCAATGACAATTCAACAAGACCTACGCACTGTCTTAGTTCCGCTGCACAAGAATTCAAACTAACACCATTAATATCTACCCGCTGAAAAAACAAGTATCAGCAAGTTAAAGCTGACCTGGAACAGAGATAAGCAAGTTGTTGTCAACTCTAAGAACTTTAAGATTCTTCAACTTCCCTATCTCAGGTGGCAAAACCGATAATTTATTATTCTTAAGGCAAAGCTTCTCAAGAAGAGGCAACTCCGTCACTTCAACTGGCATCACCTGCCCAAATCCAATCCTTTAAATCACAACATTCTTCACTAGAATAAAGAAAAAACATAAAAAAAAAAAAAAAACCATACCAACAAACCAACACCAGACAAACTCAACGACGTCACAGTCTTCCAATGCTCCCCACAAGACGAAGCCACATCAATCGCGGGAGCAGGAATCGCAGCAGGCATCATATCAGACCTCATCAACCTCGTCAACACTCCCACACCATCATACTGCTGACCAGACCCCGCGGCCTTCATCAACGTAACCGCTCGTAACGGCTCCCTCCGTTTCTCAACTCTCATAACAACCCCAACCTCCTCCTCCTCTCCCTCACCATCCCCCCCTCCCTTAAATTCAACCACAACCGTATCGTTCGGCGCAGGCAAAGCCACCATCAGCTGCGACTCGAGACGCAGCGCGACTTGATCCTCCGACGAGTCCCCCGCCGTCGTCCAATCGAGATCGATCCGGAAACCTAGCTCCGGATCCTCCACCGCGGAGGGAGTCGAGGAAGGGGAGGATGATGATGTTACCGACGTCGGGGATCCGAAGGGAGAGGATGATGATCGGATCGGATCTTCGTTTAGATCGTCGAGGCCGTAGGAGAGGCTTAGACGGAAACTCTCCGACGATCTCTTCCATCCTAACCCCCACGACATTGTGACGATCGCCGATCAAAGCAGCGGGTGGGTGAAAACCGCGGATTGATTCGTGTGGATCGGATTGGTTGATTGTGGAATTTCAACGAAGAATGTGGTTTTCGGATCAATGGCTAATGAATGAATGAACACTGAGACTAGTCTGTTGCATTTGCGTTCAACACAACAGTTTTTTTTCTTCCGTTTCTCTCTGATCTTCGCCGATATTTGGTAATTGATAAAATGGTTTACTTAGTAACTTAAAACGTCGTCGTTAGGATAAATATTTAATTTTCATTTTTTTCTTCTTCTAATTAAGAGCATAAGGCCGAAATAAAAGAGGTTACAAAAGGCCCAGTAGAGGTTTACGGGTTTAGCTTCACCAGGCCTTGTATTATTGGCTCGATTGTCAAAGAGCCATCAAAAAAATATTCGTCTGACTTGATTTTTTTTTCTGGCTATTGCCACATTTCATACCTTTTGCTAACGTCAACGAGGTGTCTCAAACAGGGGATTTTTTTTCTCTTAAATCCTAAAACTTCATGAAATGCTTACAAATAAAAGTTTGTTTTGTGTCTCAAAATGAGTGATCATGTTTTAATGGTATTGATATAAAAGCCTCTAAGATATGTCACATGTGCGGAAAAAAATCAACCAGTTAAATATTTCTTTTTTTGCCACCTAAACTAAGCTGTAACTAAAATCAAACCATGTCTCTCTCCTTCGATTGAATTTCTCCGGTCTCTCCTATCTTTTCGTCTTATCCGGTTCCTCAACCTGATATCTCCTTTACTGAGCATCCTCTTCTATCAATCAATCGTGCTCTCTAATACCCTCTTAATGTCTTCGTCTCATCTCCTTCTCTATCTCCTTATTTATAAACTAATGTATCTTAATTTCTTTCCATTCATAACTGACAAGCTCATATCTATAAGCCAGATCCATGGCGATGAAACCCAACAGCAAATCACATGTCTCCACCGCCAAGTCTCCCATCGTGTTGTATTCAGATCCATTATATTGACGACTCATGTGGTTTTCTGGAAGGGCTTTGTTAGCTTGGAGAAGAAGCAGTAGGCGGTTGATTAGACAGTGTCAAAAAGGTAAATATATATGCTTTCTCCCACTATACCCACCAATATGTATTCATGCTTAGGTCAAAATAACACATATATTCTAAATATCAGGTTGGTCATTGCTAAAACTTCAGAAAAGTTGCAGATTTAGGAAGTTTCCTGTTGTAGAGATATGCTAGGCGGTTCATTAGGTTACCTTTTGATAATTGTTCATCTCTGAAAGTGTTGAAAGTATCTGGATGCACTCAGGTAAAAATACACAACAAGATCCATCGTTTTCGTTGTAAATGAAACTAACGACTTTGAATAAACACCACTCTCTCCCTTTTGTAGATAATGGATGCATTTGTTCGATGTCACTCAGATCCACTCTGCTAAGTTATTAGGTTCCAAGTTGGATCCCTTCTTGGACCACCTTACAAAAATTTTTGCAGCTAGCTGAAAAAGGCATGATCTTATCTCTATGCTTTGTTTGTTACTAGAGAAGAATAGTAGAGATGATTTTTCAATAATCTAGCTGTGTCTACCCTATAAGGTCTCAGTTATCACCATTGTGGCTATTCTTACGAGCAATTGAAAATGGCTCTTAAGACTAGGTACTAATATTTTTTTGAGTTTCCTTTTAGCCAGGTCAAGGATACGACAATGATGTAGCTCAAGGATTCGAACATAGCCACATGAGGGTATGTGAGATGTCTACTTTATGATGGATGCCAAGCTAATGTTGTAATGTACACTGATCATGTTTTTAACCTTTTCACTTCATTATCTTAACAAAGTTTAAATCTCTGTAAAAAATTTCAATTTTTTGTCTATTTTAAGTTGAATCCAATGCTTTGAGTCTTGAAGTTGCTTAGTTTAGTTTTCATCTAAATACGTATAAAAGATTAAATAAAGATTCGAATATGGTGGGTCCAGGAGTGAGTACATGTGCACTTAATTTCTGACAATGATTCTTAATGATGGTACTCTGACACCAAATATATATTTTGCCAAAGCATGCAAAGAGTTGAGTGTGTTTGTTGTGTTGTGTTGTGTTGTGTTGTGTTGTGTTGTGTTGTGTTGTGTTGTGTTTGTTGTTTTGTGTTGTTTGCAGAATATATAGAGCATAAAGATGGAGCATGAGAAGAAAGTGGAGCAAGTAAGAAGGCTTGAGATGAAGAGAGCTGACTATGTCAAAACCGAAAAGGCAAAGAAATATGTTGAGAAGTTAGAGTCTCAACTCACTGTGTCTTCCTAAGCCATAGAAAGCACTTCTAACGAGATCATCAAGCTCAGAGAGACTGAACTCTACCCCCAGCTTGTGGAGCTCATTAAAGGGTTAGTTATCCATTTGGTTTTTAAATTAAGAACAAAAGTGAAACAATGTCTCTTGTGTAATAGGCTGATGTGTATGTGGAGGAGAATGTATGAGAGCCATCAAGTTCAAACTCATATAGTTCAACAGCTTAAGTACCTCAATACCATTCCTTCCACTGAACCAAATTCAGAGCTTCACAGACAATCATCTTTCCAGCTTGAGCTTGAGATCCAACAATGGCATCACTCTTTCTGCAACTTAGTCAAGGCTCAGCGTGACTACATACAGTCACTTACCGGCTGGCTTAGGCTAAGTCTCTTCCAGTTCAGCAAGAATCCACTTGTCAGGAGTAGCTACAAGTCAAAGATATACAGCTTCTGTGAGGAGTGGCATTTAGCTATCGACAGGATCCCTTATAAAGTAGCATCTGAAGGGATCAACAGGTTTTTAACCGCAGTTCATGGAATAGAGGCCCAGAAAGGTGAGGAGCATAAGCAGAAGAAGAAATTAGACTCAATGTTGAAGGACTTTGAGAAGAAAGCAACTTCACTGAGAGCGTTGGAGAGTAAGTATAGTCCATACTTTGTGCCTGAGAGCAGGAACAAGAATCATGTGATTGAGAAGAGAGCAAAGGTTGAGTTCTTGAAAGTGAAAGCAGAAGAAGAGAAGAGTAAGCATGAGAAGGCAGTGAGTGTGACTAGAGCCATGACTTTGAATAATTTGCAGATGGGTTTCCCTCATGTGTTTCAGGCAATGGTTGGGTTTTCAAGTGTGTGTATGCAAGCGTTTGAGTCTGTATACAATCAAGCTAAGTTCATTGGTGAGGAGGAGCAAAAGAAGGTCAAGAGGTTGCTTCCTTAGAGAGTTGCTTTACCGTTTCTTCTTTGTTTTTGCTTGATCCTAGCCCAACCTATAAGCAAACGTGTTGTGAACTTGAGTTGAGTTTGTGCTATTTTAGAAAATGAACTTTTCATTCAGTCATTCCCTGAAAAGGCATGTTGGTTCGGATAATTCGGTTCGACTAAAATATTCCTGAATTGTACCGTAAAAAAATTTTGGTTCGGTATTTGGATACTTTGGTTTTATTTATTTTTTCTTAAACTAACTGAAGTTTTTGGTTTCAATTAATATTTTGGATAAAAAATTCAGCAAAGACAGTTAAATACAGGTTATATCGGTTCAAAAGTTTGATTCAAAATTTGGTCAACAATTTTTTTTTACAAAAAAACTATCTAATCATTTACCGAACCGGAGTTTTTTTTTATAAATCTGCCAAAGCGAACCATACGTCTCACCAAACCGACCTAACAAATCGAAAATTTGCTTCGGTTCAGATGGCTCTGTTAAAAATCTCAGCCCTCCTAAAATTTTCATCAAGTTGAGAAACTTTTCTAATTCATGTACATTGATTGTTAAAGATGTTAAGTACACTTTCACCTCTTTAAGTAGTACGGAGAAACATCATTACATTTCCACTGAAGCCAAGCCAAACGCATGTCACTTCTCAACGACAAGAATGTCTCTCTTGCACTTGCAATGTCAAACAACGCGAGTGAAACAACATGAATGCAGAAAAATAGACACTCTCTGCAACACCGTTAACCCCATCAAGCTCCCTGATACACTTAGTAAGAGAGAGCCTGTCTACTCAGTGTATCAGGGAGCTTGATGTATTTTTTTTTAAGTTTACTATTATTTCTTTTACATAAGGTAGAAATAATCAATTTTTATTGAACCCTTGTGTAGATTCGAGGTATGATCAGTAAACGACTATTTTTAAGATGGTTGGATCATATGTTGACTAACTGTATGTACGTTTTAGCCAAGGAGACGAACGGTTGATCATTTTTACTTCAAAAACAAATTTGACAATGTTTGCTTTCATTCGCAAATAACCAGAAAAAGACAGATACTAGATTAAAATATAAATTAATTAAGACGTAAGGAATTTTAAAACATATAACTTTTTAAGAACCAAAGTTTCAAAGGATTAAGAGTAGGTTGTTATTCAAAATATATGAAAATACCAAGTAAGTTACGACTTACACTTTACACTGATATAGTTTTAGTTCACAAAAATCTTAAAGAAGGGGAAGATGATGAGCATGAAAACATTGTGAGCGTGACAGTGTAAAAACCGGACGAAAACATAAGTCAATGTTTTCACCTTTGAATTTCAACGAGATTTAAGGTGCCTTTCAGAGAACAAGTCACAATGTAGAATCTTTTAGACTAGTAGAATGAAAAAAAAAATAAGCATGTGAAATAATGATTTGGTCGAATGTGTAGAAAAAAAAGTTGGGTGCAAAATATAGTTGTGAATATAATATATGGAAGTGAAAACATGGAACTCAGTTAATCAAAGAAAAATGAAAATAAAATAAAAAGGAACAAGAATGTTAATAGGAGAACAAAAACTACTAAAACCAAGAATAAAACATTATTAAAATAATTCAAATGGGACACAAAACACCAAATTTGGTGTAGTCTCTTCCCAATGGAATACCCTAAATGACATTATTCCACCAAATTTAGTTTATGGTAAATAGTGTTACACCAAATTTAGTATATTTTAACTATTATTATTAAATTTATTTGAATTTGTAACTAAACATAAATATATTATATTATTTGTATTTTAAATTATTTTTACATAATTACAATATTTTTAATTCTATTGTTAAGTAAGAAATCACTAAATGACTATTAGCATTTACTCTATTTTTAAAAAAATATCATAGAAAAAAATTAATCAATAATTAATACATAATTAATAGTTATGATATAATTTTGAATATAATTAATAATTTATATAAAATAAATACATAAAAATTTTAATATAGTTAAATCAAAAATATAAATGTAAATAAATTTATCAATATCAATTATAAAAATTAACAAAATTATTCAAAAATTATTCAAAATTTAAGTGTGATAAAATAATTATTTATCAACTACAAATAATAAAAATATAAAATTATTCAAAACTTAAAACATTAAATAATTTTAATATGACTTTTGGTGTAATATTTGATATCATAGTTGGAGATGAAAAAAAGATGATACCAAAACATCAAATTTGGTGTAATTCTAATACTAAATTTAGTGTTATGTTTAATTTTTTTTAATGACAAACAGCCGTAATACAAAAAATAACATAAAACAAACCTACAAAACTACAATTATGAATCAATATATAAATTGTGTAATACAACATAAAATATATTAGATATATATATATATATATATATATATATATATATATATATATATATATATATATATAATATGAGATAAATAAGACTATTAAAAATAAAGGTAAAATTATACACATAAAATAAAATATAGTAACATAATTCATGTATTTATAAATTATAAATGTAAAGTACATAATCCGCGTAGCGCCGAAAAAAGATCTAGTAATAATAATAATAATCAAACCTAATGCTTTAGCTAAAGAATTAAAATCCACAAACCAATAGGTACAAGATATTATGCATAGAAGCTCATCTCTACAAAATTAGATAAATATATTTTCAAACTAAGATAATAATAGTGAAAATGGTTAGTGAAAAGAATAATTTTCGAATATTTTTCAAACTTCATCAGTTTACCACCTAAAAAGGATACTAAATTCAGAAAAATGGCAAAAAAATGTTTGGTTTTGAAAACATCTTAAGACATTACTAATTAAATATCATATCTCAACTTGCTAAAGAAAAAAAAAACTTGCTAAAAAGGAACTTGGTAAAACCATTCCAGTGTCATTGCAAAGACACTTTGAATATGAATATAAATATAAAATATGTACACACTTCTGATAATATATATCTCAAATCAACACATTAACATTGATATTTCACTAGATGATCTATCTTATATAAACAACAACAGTGAACTTTAATTTAAATTAAAAACAATCAAGCAAGGACCTTTCTTGATCTTAAGAATCTTGGTGACCATGGATTACACAATTTAGAGGCTTTTGAAGAGAGCTTCTTCTTCAGGTTTTGTTTCGTTGATTTTCTCCCCAATTCTTTGCTGCTTTCAACATCTCCAAAGGCTTCCATAGCTGATTTCAAATCTATATATTCAAAATAACGTAATTATAACTGGAGTTATTAAAAAAACTGCATACAAAATAAGCTTTTTTCAAAAAAAAAAATGCATACAAAATATCTCAATATTATGTTTTATTAATTAATTTCATACAACGATCGGTCAATTAATATATTTAAATCCTGCTAAATGTTTACCAGCTGATATAAATTTCAACAGAGTAAATAATGAGGAAATCGCTTGATCATTGACATAGGCTCATAACTAAATAAAGTAAAATATAATTTTAGAAAAGAAAATAAAAACTTGCCTGTAAACGGCCACGATGAATTTGGCTCTAAGACGTTGTTGCTCGTCTTGAATTCATGTATCTATAAAAAATTAATGAACCGGCTTAGACTAAACCAACGTCTGTTAACGTTGTAACTGCGAAAACAAAATGTCTTACCCAACTCGGTGCACTACTCGATGAACTATCCCAACCGATATGTGACACGTGTCGAACATCTGTAGGATATCCTATTATCATCTCCTCCTCCTCCTCATCTACAAAAGAAATTTCTCATTAATCCATTTTGTAATCATTGAAATGGTAATTTGTAGTCTTTACCGAAAATGTCCGCGAAGCACTTGAAACTCTTCTGATAAAGCCCTCTGAATCTTGTTGCCATGCTCGAATACGGAACACTTCGACGATAATGTCAAAAAGAACAAAGATAGTTTGTTTACAAAAGAAATGAACTACGAAAAAGAATAGAAAATGGTTGGAGAAGAAGAAGAAGATAAAGAAGAAAATGCTCTGTTGTTCAAGATTGGAATGGTATATAAGACAAATAAAATATAGGAAGAGACATGAAAGAGTAGTGGTACTATTAAATAATTAATAAGTATATTCTTTTCCAATTATTGGAAAAGGTTATTCGTTTTATTTCAAGATTGTTTTTTTTTTGAATAAGTTATTTCAAGAATGTTGTCTAAAGTAAACTAGTTAAAGGTTTAGGTGATCAATTATCCATTCCACGAGTTTTAGTTCAACTACTAAAACCATTAACGAAAGATAGACTCGAATCTTAGCCGTTTGAGGAAATCAGCATAGTTGCTAACAAGTAGTGTCTCTTTGTTTTTTTACATATAAAAACTGGTTCAACCTGTATCTTTGGTCCCAAAAAAAAAAACAGGTTCGTTCAAGTATAGAATTTGCTGCTTTGTTAGGAAATAACCTTTCATTTATAAACTAAGCAAATATAAATGTTACAAAACTTAAAAACATATACGCAAATGCAATCAAAGATTTGCCCTAACATCTTAAAAAAAAAATGGTTTTAGCAACAAAAAAATATTAACAAACGATGGTGATAAATGATACATACCATTTATAAATGTTTTGACGTTTTGAAAAACATGATTTCGTTATATTTTACATCTAAAATATTTATTAAAATTTCAAATTTATTTTTGAAAATGATTTAATTTATTTACAATTTCCATGTTAAGAATATAACAAAATGTGATTAATCTACTAATACTACTAAATTTAAAGCGTTTATAATTACTCTTCAAAAACTATATATTCAATTATTTATTCACTACTAATTATTAAATGCTATGCCTCTTAAATATTAATATTCCTCTGAATTATTATCAACTGAAACACATGGTAATGCATTAGTAAAACTAAACAACTGATATAATTATCTATTTTATCAAAATGCATTCATATTTTCCTAAGCCTACAGTAATTACATAATAAGATTTCCTTAAAAGAGTTTTTAGTACCATTCAGTTGATTGCAAAAAAAAAATCATGGTAATTTCGATCCAACGAATTTTTTAGTAAGCTTTTCACTATCTGATTAAAATAAAGTCTGGAATCCAAAATGTACAAAAAAAAAGAGAAGCCCACATAAAATTAATAACAAAAAAAAACATAAATTCCGAATCCTATTAGTCTGGATTATAAAAAATTCGATCCATCAGTTTTCAAATACATGCCTCTCAAGTCTCAAATCCACAAATTTTCATTTTTTCGACATCTGCTCTTTTTGCTGATTGACAAATGAGTTCCTTTTTTAATCAATATATGAAAAGCTGTCATTTATCATTATATTAAGTATAAAGTTTATAACTAATCACCAAGGATTAATATTTCATACAAGTCGCAAACACCAAAAGTTATTTCTGTCAAATCAAATGATTAGCCTTGAAGCATTTTTTTATAAATATTGAAAGCTACACATTTTGAGATATTTGAGTTGTGGCCTTCACGTTTAAGTTCCTATAATACACGAATATTTATGTTTACATATGTAAATTATATTCATATGCAATCGTCATTGTCATCAATTGTAGATTTGTGATGACATACAAATGTGACTAGGTGAGACAGCTGTGGTGTTTTTGTTTATATAGGTTGAAAATTGTGCTTAGTCACTTTCACGACACCTCTTGCCTTTGGATTAAATCTACTATCCCCGTCAGAAAAATGAATTTGATGGTAGTATTCTTGGGTGTATTTTTATTTTCGTAAAGAGTAGAAATCAATTTCATGGAGATGATCATAATCTATACTATTAAAACAGAAACATTACAACTTTTTATAAGTGAATTTTAAAATTATACCTCTTATTATTTAAATTATTATTTATATTTTTTTGTCATAATCCGCATTTCCAAAAAATAGGACAATTTCTATTTAATCTATTAATTCAACTTTTAATAAAATTTTTCTATAAATAATTTTTAACTAACAACTATAATTACTTTCTTCCATATCTCATCTAATATTTCGAATTCGAATATTTTTCTGTTCCATCCATTATATCATTCAACCAATATATTAATTTATAAATATGTATTATATTTTCAAGAAAACAAACTATATTATATATATATATATATATATATATATATATATATATATATATATATTCAGTTATGTCAATTGTATGCAGATAATTCGTTAGCCTATATCTATCAACACTTATATTAATATTATCAGTACTACTAACCAATGTTATTTCATTATTATAAATTCGATAATATGAAATTGACCAATTCTACACTTTCATTGTATATATTCGTTATACGAAAAAATTTTAACTATGGATGGGTATTCGGGAGTTATCCGAGTTTGGTTCGAGTCTATTTAGGTTTCAAGTTTTTGAGATTAATTTTTTTTATCTCTATTCAAATATTTATAAATTTTAGTTTGAATTCATTTTAAAGTTTTGCAGGTTTGATTTGAACAACCAATTTAATATTTTCTCCGCACATATATCTATAATACATTTATAGAAAACTATTAATATAAATAAAATTTTAATTATGTTGTTTAGTCGCATAAAATAAGTATAAATAAACTTAAAACTATATAAAACTAAGAAATATAAAATATATATATAATTTATTTAGACAAAATAAGCATGATCTAGTCTTTTATTAAAAGTAAAACTGCCCCTGTAATTTCATTTTCCAGAAGTTTTTGGTTTCCAGTTCAAATATGGTTTAGTTCAGTAGATTTACAAATTTGATTATTGATTCGATAATAGGTTAATTAAGTTATGTTTTCTGAAAAGTTATTACTTAACTTTAACCAAACTCCAAACTGCAGTAATCGAACTAACTAAAATTTTGAACCAAAATAACTGAGCTAACCGAAAAGAAAAGTTAACCGGATATTGAGTTTTTAACCAAACTTAAACCGAGACCAAAACTTTTGGTTAATTTTAGTAGAATTTTCATTAACTAAAATACCCTAATGGAAAACCAAAACTAATTCTTGTTTGGTTTAGTTCAGCACAATTTTGTGCTACATGACATGCGTTGCAATTTGCATGATTACATGAAAGAGCTAATCGCTTTGGCGAGACAGAATATTAAAAACTAAGGAGATGATATCACGAAGCCCAAAAGGGAGTGGACAGGGTTAGTAGTTAAAAGAAAATATCATATCATATGGATAAAACTACTATTGGCTGTAGATTCGTTTGAAGAAATAGCATCACAACAAAAATAACAAACGATCAGGGTATAACCACTTCACTTGTGTAATGCATTAGAGAGGTGTGAATCGCATTTTCAAGTGTAAATAATCTCACAAAATGTGCTTACTTAATGCAAAGCCTGTTGTCATGTTGAAAAGCTAAAGCTAGCAAAGGTATTGTGTGTTAAAAAAAAAAAAAAGCTAGCAAAGGTATAAACCACAAAAATCTATCTACAAATATGCATACTCAGTGCAAAGCCATGTCTCAATTTTCGCAGAAATAACATGCTGAGAGGCTAAAGCTAACAAAGGTATAAATCAAAACTCTATCTCTATCATATAAGACTGGACGAAATAACTAATATATTAACCGATCTTGACTCAGGTTGATTCTCAAACCGATAAAAACATGATATGGTAGTACATTTGTCAGAAAAATCAAATTGAAAACTCAAAAAAAGGAGCAAGATCAACAACAAAGCAAAAGGTCCATAATAGCTTACAAAATTTTATACCACGAAGTCTTTTCTCTGAATATATGCAATCAGCTAGACCAAGGGCACATATAAACTCTTAAGTGGTAAAGTACACCCCCGTTATTTCTATATAGTTTTGATTGCGTTTCAACATGAAAACGCAAATGCAAACAAACAATCGGGGCGGGGGGACGGGGACGGTACCAATATCTATCCTAAGAGTGATCTCAAGACGGTACCAGCATAGCCCAAAACATCACCAATCTCTGAGCAGTGAGGTTCCTAACTCGAACAAGCACATTATAACAACGCCAAGAGCAATCCAACCACAGTGGACAAGAACCCCACCGCAAACCCCTCAGCTCCAAGCTGTATTCCAGATCCTTGGTCGAAAAAAATAAGCTTGTTCAGATGGCTACGATCTTGAAGAAACATGACATTTTTCTGATGATGTTGTGCATTGTTCCCACCATGATGAAGAAATAAATGAAAAACTAGAGCTTGACCCGCGCGGAATTAGTATATAACTTTTTATATTTGTTTAATAATATTATTAAACATAGATATAGATTATTTAGATATTTTTAGGTTTGTACGAATCTATCTAGACTCGTAAGAATCCGTTTCGAATCCCATCCGAGAAGTTATAATGTCCAAACAAAGTTTAATTTTAAAATCCAAAAAGTTGATACGAAAATATGGATCTGTGTTCGTCTACATGAATGCCCATGTTTAACTGATTATGTAAAAAAAAAAAATTCTTTGTTAACCAGCTTGTATTCTTGAACTAATAAAAAAAACTTATTCAAAAATGTGAAATATTTATGGTTAACACGAAAATAAATGACATCAAATTATTATGATAAATACAAATGGTGAAAAAGTTTGAAAGAGTGAAAATGAATGTAAAAGATATAATAAAATACTTAAAATAGGTAATTTAAGTTTTGTACTTTTATAATAATGTTATCAAGTTATTTGAAAATGAAGAATTTATAAAGTAGTTCAGATAAGTGAGAATAATAAAAGAAAATATGTAATAAATTTGTTGAAAATAAAGTTAGTTTTATTTTGTACTTCTTCTTTAATAGAACAGATATATGATAGTTACTATAAACAAATAAGGTTTAATAAGAATCACTTGCTTAACATATGTATTAAGAAAATTTTCTAAAAACTTGTCAATAAAATAAAATTAATTATTTAAAATATGTTTTATGTAGAGTTTACATGTTTTGTTAATAACCTATTGGTATAGTTTATTATAATTTATAATATCTACTTTTAATAATTTAAGTTTGTTAGAAGAAATTAACTTTCAAGTTAATTTTTTTAAATGATAG